AGTATTTATACATGGGCAACTAGGAGCTCGTCACGGCTTGAGCAGAATGGAGTAGAAGGGCTGTGGAGGTGTAGTGTGGTGAACACCTGGATGTAATGTAGTTCTTCTGTGATAGTAAAAGTCCAGCTACATTGCAAAATTTGAGTAATTACTAATGGTCTGGACTGCACTTGTGGCATTCTGAGCCACACGGACCCCAGTTAGGGCCCGGTTCCAGACAGGCAGGGTAGGCCTAAGGGACGACGGTTCAGATGAAGCCCAGATGGGGCTGGACCACGGCGGTTCAGGCAGGCCTAGGTAGAGGCCCAGGCCAAACGGCCACAAGGCCGGTACCGGTCTAGCATAGTCTAGCATAGGACCTACAGGCGGCGCTGCAGAGGCTGCCAAATTTAGGCGCCAAGTCCAGTTCAAAACTGGAGGTCCAGGCCGGTAGGTACCAGCAGGTAGGAGGCCGGCCCAGCACTACAACAGGCTKGGTACCAGCCTCTGYGGTAGGTTAGAAGCTAGAGGTTAGTAGCGTTAGCGTTAGTCTTCAGGATTAGCGCAGCGTTGTAGCAGCATTAGCGCAGCACCAGCAACGCGAGTCGGCGCAGAGAGGAGACAGTGAACGCCGCAGCACGGAGCAACAGCGCAGCGGCCCTGCCGCGCCATAGCTACTGGTTCAGGTACAAGGGAGGAAGGCTTGCCTTCTCTCCCTCTGTTCCTTCGGCCCCGCTCTCTCTCTCTCTCTCTCCCTCTCTCTCTTTCTCTCCTCCTACCTTCTCAGTCTCAGTCTACTTCTGGGTTCTCCTACGGGACCTACTGCAGTATGAAGGATGGTTACGAATTCTGATAACATGGGGAATAGCGACATTGGGACTACGAGGGGAGGACTACTTAGGGATCTGATTTCATCTTCCTTCTGAAGATGTATTGACATTGTGAGATCGATATCTGAGATATTGTGAGACTTGGCATTCGCGACATTTCGGATTTCCGTCACTTCTGACATTTCAAGATACTATCTTTGGAAACATTGAGTTGACGTCATCTTCCGTCTCCTCCTCCTTTCGTCTCTCTCCTCTCTCCCTTCGTCCGTGGATGATCTCAGTSCCTGGCCCTTCGTCTATGTCTGAGGCCAGGGCCTTCACACCCCTGATGAATGTTTGAGAGTATTCGATTGCAGTCCGAGTCAGGTCCGAGTCAGTCCTAGGTATCTTAAGTCTTCCGCTTGCATTGGTATTAACTCTGTATTATCTGGTCAGTTCTGGGAATCTGCGCCATACTTATGACTGTGTTTCAAGAGTATGCAACAGTTTGGTATCGGAGCAGACCAGCATTGGATGACTCACCTTTAATTGATTGATTGATTGATTGATTGATTGATTGATTGATTATCTACACCTGCACTCTGTTATCATTAAATTGGAAGTTGCATTTTTTTTTTTCTTTTCTCGTACTTACATAGTAATTAGGTCGTTTGAATCATAATTTTAGGTTTCGTGATTTTCTCTATATCTGCGCGAATTAGGAATCGCTAATTACGATGAACCTAATTAGCGCTAATAGGGTTAATCCTAACCTAACCTAACGACCTATCAAGTCTWTGCGAAGTAAGTGCCACCCAGGCACCACGCCAAGTAAGGGAGATTGGGCCTGAGTACGGCCATATTCAAACTGCAACTGCACGGAACTTTCACTTTTTGCAAACTGCATCTTTTTGCGTTCGAAAGATTGAATCTTTCCAACAAATTGTGTATCTTCCTACTACCATTCATCTTCTACTTAATGAGTGACCTCGTGATAATGCTAAATTCTCCCAATGAAAATTTCGTGAAATTATTGAAATTATGTTTAAATGCTTAAACTTGCTTAAWTTTTTTTATTATTTGTGCAAATTTAAATATTCTTTAATTATTTTAGATATCATTTCTACCATTTGGTGCTTTTTCTTAATTGTTTTTTTTGGTCTGATATTCTTGTTTGGCTTTTAATGATAGTTAGCAAAATGGATRTAAAAAGATACCTTTCTACAATCTTCGATGACTACGTGAGTTAGTAGGAGAGAGAGTGACAGATTGAGTAGGTGACTGGGATGAGATGTTCGGCTCTTAAAGATGGCTAGCAAAATAAGAATTAAAGAGATACCTTTTTACAATCTTGGGTGAGTACGCGAGTTAGTAGGAGAGAGAGTGACAGATTGAGTAGGTGACTGGGCTGAGACATCTGCTACTGCTACTGCAGACACCCCGTCGAGACTGGCCGATGATGCTGAGCTCGACTGGGTGGTCTGCCCACTTTTTGTAAGGGACGCCGGGCCCGTTTCGTGGCTCGTATAATAAAATTTTCTTTAAAAAAAAAAAATAATAAAAAAAAAATCTTTAATTAAAATATTTAATTTTTGCGAAATTAATTATTGCAAATTTAAATATTCTTTAATTAAATATTTAAATCTTTTGCAAAAAATAAAAAATTATTAATTCGTATTTTCCGATTAAAAATTATTTAATTTCTCAAAACTCAAAATTTTCAGGGGGGATTTTTTTTTTTTTGTTGATTAGTGTCAGACTTCGAGGTCAGGGAGAAAGGGACTGTCTGTGCATTGTTTGCCTCTCTGCCCCTCCTCCCCACCCTACCTGCTSTCTCCTCCTCTCGGTACCACGGACGTCACTCTCCGGCCATGTCAGCATTGTGCCACATCAGCAGTGGGCCACGAAGGCAGAGTGCCACCTCAGCCACGTGTCACCTCAGCGTGMCAYGGCAGCCGAGTGCCACTCAGCAGCGGCCATCTCAGCAGGTGCCACCTCAGCGGTGACACATCAGCAGCAGACGGAGGCCAGAGTACTTGATGCGCCGCAGCCAACGACTGGCCGAGCGCGGATCCGCAGGAGCCAACCTCAACAGGGACTAGGACCCCTCGGATTCCGCGCAGGCCGCGCACGACCATGGCTGCTACCACTGACGACAATGCACAAGCCAGCCCCAAGAGGCCGGTTACCCCTCCTATCCCAGTTCAGCAGGCCGATGAACCGCTTCTAGCGTTTCTCAAACGGCTCCAGCTCTATCCGGAGACCACGGCAGCTGAACTCAGCAAGTGGGAAGAGGAGGAAGCCGCCCGCCAGCAGGAAATACAACGCCAGCTGGCAGAGGCAGAGGCAGCACGTCAGCAGGCCGCAGCAGAAGCTGCAGCAGCCGCACGGGTGCAACAGCAGCAGGTCGAAGCTAGTCAACACCAAGCTCGTTACCAAGCCACGATGGACCTTGCAGGCGACGAAGCCACGTATGGCAGGCTACTTCGACGACAGCATTTCCAAGAAACCGAAGAACGACAAGAGCCGACCGAGGAAGAAAGTAACAAGGAAGGTATAACAGTACTGATGGAGAATCTGCTATACACGTGCAATTGGCAGCAACGTGAACTGCTGGCCATGCGGCAGATCTTCATCCGCCATGAAACAACATTCAAGGCAATGGACAAGAAAATCGCTACCCTGCAGGCCGAGATCAGGACACTACATGCCGCCAACAGCCAGCAGCAGACACTCAAYGACCAGTTGCAGACCGATGTCAGCATGGGGTTGGCACAAGTGTCGGCAGCTGCGTCAACGGGCAGTGCAGAGGTAGACTGCAGCCCAGCTTTGGCCGCGCAGGCCAAGCAACTCGAAGAGCGGATCAACCACGTGGTTGCATCCCTCAGCGACATCAGCAAGTTTGCTGGAGTATCGACAGTCAGCAATCAGCCGCAGACGCTCAGCGACCACGTTGAGCAACAACCGGCCGCTGCCGCCAAGGAATGGAAGATGCCGAACTTCAAGATCGAGAAGTTCGACGACTATCACAAGACTGATCCGCTGCAACGGTGGATGGTTTTCAACGCAGAGGCRGATGTACATCMCACACCCGCCCATCGGCRGCTTRACGCACTCTACCTCCAACTCATCGGAGGGGCGCAGGCTTTCATGACACACATGGCCGTCACGTTGGAATGCACCATCGCCAACCTCCACACTAAGATTACATGGGAGGAATTCGAGAAGAAATGGAAGACCAGGTTCATGGTCAACAATGACAGACGGCACGCCATGAACAAKATCTTCGGCATATACCAAGGCCAGCAAACRTCACGGGAGTGGCTGACGGAGTGGCAAAGACTCGTCGCTACCCCGGAGTTGAACTTACCATTTGACGCAATCCGRGCCGAATTTTTTGCTCGGTCATGCRACGCCTTGACAACTGCGCTGGACACCGAATTCCAGTATGAGACCTTTGATGATCTGATCTCAAAGGCAAGAGAAYTAATCCAAGGTAACCGGCGTGCGGCCAACGAGACCCGCCAACAACCCGGTTACGTGGAGAAAGGAAAACGTCAACGGACACCACAAGTAGCAGCGGTCCAGCAAGGACCAAGTGAGGACGCCRCAACCGCRTCTACATCAAGTGACGGAGATGTGGCGGCAGCGATACCACCGCAACGCTCAAGACCCCGAGGGGGAAAACAAAAGGCGAAACCAGMGTCGGCGGACGGAGCACGACAGTCACCATRGAYGAAGTTCGGCATTACCGAAGACATGTTCAAGTTGCGACAAAAATGATCATGCTGTTTGTGGTGCAACAGCACCAAACACATTACCAGCGCATGCCTCGACAAGGACAAGAAGAATGTCAAATGTTCAAGCTCGRGAAACGGAGCACCGCGGGAAGTGCAGCGACATCACTTCCCAATCCGCCGGAGTCGGCTGCCTTGCTAGCGGTGTCTCTCACATCCGGGGATGAGGCGGTAGTCGCAAGTTCTCGCATCGAGTTTGAGAACTATGCTGTCGAGCTGGTCCCACCGTTGTACCAGCCTCTCCACGTGCAAGATTCAAGCGCATGCGCGGTAGTTCCACCGTCGGACAACGAGCCGGTTGCTTCGCCAGCCCTTCTATCGGAGGATCCGTCAACTTGGGCGAGTCTTGAGGAACTCGACCCGTTGACGGTTGAGGACTTCCAATGGTTGCCTCTTCCCTCCACCCGTTCTTTGCCAACWCCGCATTGCAATGCCTTAATGGCACATCTGCGCGAATACTTGCACACTGCAGTACCACCTCCGACGACGGACGGCGAAGTAGCAGTTGTTGACCTTCGTAACTATCTTGCGAAGATCGACCGCGAGTACACAACACAACCGTACGTCGACATCGACGCACCGCTACTCTACATCCGCATTCAGATCGGAAAGGCGACCTGCACTGCCTTGATCGATTGTGGAGCAACTCGCAACTACACCAGCCAAGACTTCATGGCACGCGCCGGGCTTGGCCCGCGCGTTCGAAGGAAAAGGCAGCCTACGCACGTCACGTTGGCCGATGGTCACACACAAAAGTCAATCGACCGATGCATGGACTCGGTGCCCATGCACTTTGCCCCGCTCGCATGCGAGGCCGTGTCTTTCGACATATTGGACACCAAGTTTGATATGATCCTAGGCATGTCGTGGCTGCAAAGCGAAGACCATCCGGTGAACTTCCATCGATGCACCGTTCACGTTTGTGATCGGCGTGGCAAACTAGTCTCGTGTACGGTGTCGCTTCCTCATCCTTCGATTGGTTGTCACGTGGCATCCGCGGCGAGCATTCACCAATCCATTCGGCGGAATGACATCGAGGAGATGGGCATATGTTTTATTCACGACCTCTCACCCGGTGATCAGCCCAAGACGGATACGTCGGACCCACGCATCATTGAGCTGTTGGACAACTATGAGGATGTCTTCCAATCTTCCGCCGGAGTCATACAAGATCGGCCCATACGCCACAGGATCACTCTCGAGGACGGCGTCGTACCTCCATGCGGATGTATCTACTGCGTGAGCGAAGAGGAACTTCAAGTGCTTTGGGCACAACTAGACGACCTCTTGGCCAAGGGCTGTATCCGCCCTAGTTGTTCGCTATACGGTGCTCCCGTTCTCTTCGTCCGGAAGAAGAACAAGGACCTTCGTTTATGCATCGACTATCGAAAACTTAACGCGCAAACGATCAAGAACGTCGGCCCTCTGCCTCGGATCGATGATCTTCTCGAGCGACTAGGCGGCGCCAAGTACTTCTCAAAGCTTGACCTCAAGTCCGGATACCACCAGATCGAGATTCAGCGAAAAGATCGGTACAAAACCGCATTCAAGACTCGGTATGGGCACTTTGAGTGGATCGTCATGCCTTTGGGTCTCACCAATGCCCCGGCTACTTTCCGAGCGGCTATGACGACAGAATTCCGCGACTTGCTCGACCGCATCGTACTTATTTACGTTGATGATATCTTGCTTTATAGTCGGACGCTGGACGAGAACCTTCGCGCCGTATTGGAGCGGCTCCGTATCGCCAAGTACAAGGCGAACCGCGACAAGTGCGAGTTTGCCCAGCAAGAGCTGGAGTACTTAGGCGATTACGTTACGCCGCAAGGCATTCGTCTGCTCGCAGAAAAGGTACAAGCCATTCAAGATTGGCCAGACATCAATTGTACTACTCACGTTCGCTCCTTTCTCGGCTTGGCATTATGCTACATGCGCTTCGTCAAAGGATTTCAACGCATCGCTGCACCATTGTCGCGACTTTAGTCCCCCTTGGTGCCCTTCGAGCTCAGCGACGAAGCCCGACATGAAGACGACTTTGCTTCAAGCTCCCGTCTTAAGCATCTATGACTTGACCTTGCCTACTAAAGTGACTATGGACGCTTCCGGCTACGGCATTGGCGCGGTTTTGGAACAGCATGACGGCACAGACTGGCATCGGGTTGAGTACTTCAGCCAAAAGGTGCCGCCCATCAACACTCTTGATGATGCGAGGAAGAAGGAGCTCCTAGCTTTTGTCACCGTACTTAAAAGTTAGCATCACTTTCTTCTCGGGCGTCGGCAATTCACGTGGGCAATGGACAACAATCAGTTGACATATTACAAGACGCAAGACATGGTGAGCAGCACGGTCGATCGATGGATGTACTTCATTGACCAGTTCGATTTCGCCTCCAAGCACATTCCGGGCTCCTCGAACAAGGCAGCAGATGCTCTCTCCCGAAGACCTAATATTTGCGCCTTGGTGCACTCCACAGTCGGCCTCGACGAGAATCTGCAACAGCATTTTGTAAACGGATACAAGTTAGATCCGGGATTGTCTACACTCTACGTGAACGTATCATCGGATCACCCGCCTGCAAGCAATTATCACATTGTAGACGGCTACTTGCTTCTCCATACACGAGGCAAGGACTTGTTGTGTTGTCCCCAAGACCGCATCTTGCGCACTCGCCTCCTTGGCGAATACCACGATTTGGGGCTGGCGGGACACCTTGGCGTCGCATGCACGCTTGCATGACTCCGCTAACGATTCCACTAGCCGGACATCATCAACGACGTTAACCGGTACATTTAGTCACGTGCAGTTTGCCACCGGAACAAAGGGCGCCATCAGCTCCCGTACGGCGAACTGAAACCATTGCCGATTCCTCGGGAACCGGGTCTCTCCATCGCTATGGATGTGACCGACCCTTTCCCTCGCGATCGCCTTGGCCATGACGGTATCCTCACGGTCGTTGACCGTTTGAGAAAGTACGCTCGATTTCTTCCATGCAAGTATCATGCGACGGCTCCTGAGCTCGCACGACTCTTGCATACCGGCTGGTTTGCAGCCACGGCGTTCCGGAAGACAGCGTCAGCGACCTCGACACTCGTTTCATGTCGGCCTTTTGGACGACACTCATGGTGGAATCCGACACTAGCATGAAACCAAGTTCCGCACGGCATCCTCAAACGGATGGGCAAACGGAACGTGCGCACCAGACTGCGCAGATGATGCTCCGCACACTCATCCGCCCGGATCAGAAGGACTGGGTTGACCGCCTTCGTGACATCGAGTTCGCCTACAACACTTCGGTGCACCCGACGATTGGCGTGACTCCATTCGAGTTGCATCACGGTCAACGGAAAGGAAGTATCTTCGCAAACATTTTGCTTCCACGGGCTGCCGATATCAACGCCGCTTGCTCCCCTCTTCTACACGGAAGTACAGGGAATTGCTGGCCAAAGCCCTCGCAAACATGCAGAAGGCCCAGGTCTGTATGCAGCAGCAAGCGAACCGTCGTCGCATCCCATGTCCAATTCGCGTTGGCGACCTAGTTTGGGTCACCTCCGAGGAATTCGCGCTCGAGCAGCACGTCTCGCGCAAGCTCCTCCCTAAGTGGTTTGGACCATGGATGGTCACTTCAGCAGCTGGCRACGACCCCGYGGGTCCATCTTTCATCATTGAGATTCCCCCGCATTTGACGGTCCACCCGATATTTCACGCTTCAAAGCTGGCGGTCTRCACTCCAGCCTCTGCAGCGGACTTCCCGGGCAGACGGTCACAGGACCCTCCGTCAATGGATGATCATCAGGAGGTCGACCGCGTTCTCACGCATCGCAAGCATGGCAACAAGCCTATGCAGTACAAAGTTATATTTAAGCAATGTGATTCGAACTACACACGCTGGATTTCAAGAGTTGACCTGAAGGCGACAACACCCCTCATCTTCGCGCATTACGAAAAACAGCGACATGCTAAGGAAGCTGCCCAACTTGTGTGCCGTGTACGGACATCAGACAACTTGAAACAGCTTCGCCCTTGCAGTTAGCTCGGTCTTCAAGGGGGGGAGTGTGTGGCATTCTGAGCTACATGGGCAGTTAGGGCCCGATTCGAGACATGCAGGGTAGGCCTAAGGGACGACCATCACGGTTCAGATGAAGCCCAGATGGGCGTGGACCACGGCGGTTCAGGCAAGCCTAGGGTAGAGGCCCAGGCCAAACGGCCACAAGGTCGGTACCGGTCCAGCATAGGACCTACCGGCGGCGCTGGAGAGGCTGCCAAATTTAGGCGCCAAGTCCACTTCAAAACTGGACCGTTGATTCAGATCAAAGGTCCAGGCCGGTAGGTACCAGCAGGTAGGAGGCCGGACCAGCACTACAAAAGGCTGGGTACCAGCCTCAGCGGTAGGTTAGAAGCTAGAGGTTAGTAGCGTTAGCGTTAGTCTTCAAGATTAGCGTAACGTTGTAGCAGCATTAGCGCAGCACCAGCAATTTGAGTCGGAGCAGCGAGGAGACAGCGAACGCCGAAGCACGGAGCAACAACGCAGCGGCCCTGCCATGCCATAGCTACCGGTTCTGGTACAAGGGAGGAAGGCTTGCCTTCTCTCCCTCTGTTCCTTCGGCCCCGCTCTCTCTCTCTCTCTCTCCCTCTCTCTCTCTCTCTCTCCTCCTACCTTCTCAGTCTTAGTCTACTTTTGGGTTCTCCTACGGGACTACTGCAGTATGAAGGATGGTTACGAATTCTGATAACATGGGGAATAGCGAGATTGGGACTACGAGGGGAGGACTACTTAGGGATCTGATTTCATCTTCCTTCTGAAGATGTACTTGACATTGTGAGATCCATATCTGAGATATTGTGAGACTTGGCATTCGCGACATTTCGGATTTTTGTCACTTCTGACATCTCAAGATACTATCTTTGGAAACATTGAGTTGATGTCATCTTCCCTCTCCTCCTCCTTTCGTCTCTCTCCTCTCTCCTCTCTCCCTTCGTCCGTGGATGATCTCAGCCCCTGGCCCTTCGTCTATGTCTGAGGCCAGGGCCTTCACACCCCTCATGAATGTTTGAGAGTATTCGATTGCAGTCTGAGTCAGGTCCGAGTCAGTCCGTGGTATCTCAAGTCTTCCGCTTGCATTTGTATTAACTCTATATTATCTGGTCGGTTCTCGGAATCTGCACCATACTTATGACTGTGTTTCACGAGTACACAACAACACTACACTGAGGTAGAATGGTGGGGATACGGTGTGCGCTGGGAGTATGGACGAGAGGATGGGATGGGAAGATGGTGTGCTGATAAGAGCAGTCACACCTAACACCGTCGATGAGGCTCCATCTATTGGTGGAGAGCAGCACCTACTGGAAACCGGGTCCAGCGTCCAATTGAATGCATCTTTTAGCACAGTGATATGACCATCACAGTTCATGCTCCAAAGCTTCCTCTCTCCCTCAGGGTTGCCTATATTTACCCTTTTGATTTATAGAGCTCCTACTTCCCTCTGGCCTAGCGTTACCAGAACATGATGTCTACATTTCTACTGCTGGTAGTGATTGCACTCCCATCCTCGGTGTCTGCAGCCCCCCCGTGTTTGCGTTCATCAACCCCCATTATTCGCAATCACAACGCCCATTATTGACAATCACGACGCCCATTCCTTAGAACCATTTACATTTTCAGAGTTCAAACCCCAACGTCCCATGTCATGAACCATGCACCCTCGGCAAGAGGGGGGYAGAAAGATAGCCCAWCATCGATTGTCCTCACTGTGTACATAGTCCAAAGGCTTGCCATTGCTGGCCYATTGCCGCAAGGCAAGAATTGTTGCTCCTGTGCTGGTATCTTCGCAAGTCATGATYAATGCATCCTSGGCAACAGGGAGGCAGTAAGATAGCCYAGCATCGCTTGTCTTCACTGTGTACATAGTCCAAGGGCCTGCTCTTCCTGGCCCATTGCAGCAGGGCGAGATTTGTTGCTCTAGTGCTGGTGTCTTCGCTGTTGTCCTCACCTGTTGTTCCGTCCCTCCAGCAGTCATATTTTGTCATCTGTTATTCTCAATGTGTACATAGTCCATAGGCCTGCTCCACATGAACCATTGCAGCAGGTCTTGAGTTGTTGCTCCAGTGGCTGTGTCTTTATTGTTGTTTTCGTCGCCCAGCCKTACTTATCCTCACTATGCCACCAATCAGCCTGATCGTCCTGGCCCATTGCAACAGGTCATGAGATCTCGCTCTAGTGACTGTGTCACTACTGTTGTCATCGCTTGTAGTTTAGTCAATCCAGTAGTCACATTTTTTATCATCTTGTTAATGAAGCCGATCACGATCCTCCTAGCTGCAGGTCACGTGGTCAGGAGGGCGGGGACGGGCGGTGGGCCGGGTAGGTCGGTGGGGGTTGTGGTCTGAGTGCGTGCAACGGGCATGACCAAGCTGGCTGGAGGGGCAGGGGTTGGTTGGGCAGGCTGCACTGAGTTTGGAAGAAGGATGAAGTTGGGTTGGAGGTACGGAACTTGGAAGTCGGTAAAGGGCCTTCTCTGCCAACCGGGTTTGTTCGACCTCCATGGTTTCCATGATATATGAAGCTCTTTGTCAATTTCCGAGAAAAACCTGTTGGGGTCCTGCCAAGTCTGCATGTAGCAGTCTTGAATGAGTTCCTTGGCGGTGCGGTCTTTCTCCTCATGGAAGTCACTCTTCATGGACTTCCATGCTTCCTGGGTTTTGGTCCTGATCAGTTCTTCGATCGCTTGTTGCCCCTGCAGCAGGCCAAATTGGTGGTCCTTTCTTTCGAAGGAGCACCTGGCTCTCCAAGCAAGCATGAGGAGGTGCAGCCTCGTGTACGAAAACAAATTGGTCGCAAACGGGGACCAATGGGCCAGCAGATGACGGTTCTCTCTGAGCAGCAGGAGGCCAAGGTCCCATGGTATATTATATCCCGTGAGGGAGTGAAAGGCCACATCCCATTGCCACAATTGGGTGACCATTGGGCATGCCAGAAGACAATGTTCCAGGGTTGCCCTAGTCGGTGATCGAGATCTGCCACAATAAGCGCAGATGGGGGACAATTTCCCTTTTTGTTCCAGGTCATTCC